GTCCTCGGACTTGTAATAAAAATAAAATAAGGAAAATCAGAATAAAATTATGGCCTAACCATAAACTGGTACACATACTACGGGATTATCAAAAAATGTAACAACTGGGTAGGGTTTGACAGTGCTGGAGAGTCAAAGTTGAGCATGTTTCTATTGATACTGTGGTCCGAGCTGTGGTTGGAAATTTGGACTCTTAATGGTGATGATTTCCAACATTAACTCCAAAGACAATATATTTTAAGGAATTAAATAATGCCAGTACAGAGAAGTATTTGATAGGCTATCAATTTTTTTTTTCAGAGTTGAGGGCTGAAGTTTAAGTACAAAATTTTATTCAACCAACCTAAAGTCGAAGTCAATTTTTTTGGTCTAAAGAGAAGGGGGCTATAGTCGTTTTTGAAGTGGCTTTAAGTCTGGTGTAAATGTTTCTAAACTTAGCAGCCAGAAGTTAGATCAATGTTACAAGAAATTTCAAACCTGGTGACTTCCTACAATTGCAGTATGGGGTTAAAGAGTAAAACATCCATTTATTAATTGAAAGAATGTATAAAATACTCACTGAATTCAATTCAGAGTGATAATTGTTGATATATTCTACACCTTTCGCAATATCTCCCCTACACGCATGATATGCTTTAGAAAGCAAGCCAATATTCTTTTCTCCAGTCAATTCTTTCAGTTGGTTGAAAAATGTTGTCCGTTTCTAAAACAATAATGAACAACGTTATCGTTATTAATTTTTTCAAGGAGATTGGCAACGGAAAACATCAAGGTTAGTGTGAAGGAGGTAAAATTATGTTTCTATTTTATAATTGTATTTAAAGAATTATTAGTGTCCTGGGAATCACGATATAACCAGGGACGAAATAAGTTTGTATAGAATAAATATTCCTTGAATATATTTATTAATTATGATCAAGAAATAGTCTTTAAATTGAATAGTATTGAATGAGGTATCCTAACAAATATGCGATTATGTCCTATACAAAGCTGGATATGATGAGATAAAATTATTCGAAAAGACAAGACCCCTAGACTGCATGAGATTAATACCAGTAATATTGAGTTATGATATATTAATTTAAAAAACTCATAACTCAGCACATAAACATCTGGGTAATGAAGTTTGTATATCGCATTACAGATTACAGGCCAGAATGAGGACAAACCAGCATTCTGGACTGCCACTTCAGCATTTGGTTCTGTCACTTGCTGACTCTAAATGCTTGCTCACACATAGATTCATTTATTTCTTATTTAACAGGTTGGCAGTTGTGCGCGTTGTGCTAGCGATAGGAATACGCACAGCACCGACCTTTGATTACTATACATGGGTTCGCAGGCTCGAATCCCATGTGCAAGAGGATTGCTGGACTCCTCCACGCCCTACTGCTTGTACTGCCCTAAGATGTTCCTGTAATCCAGAAACCGAGGTTAGTTACGGTACCTACCGCCTTCCCCCACCATTAAGTCCATGCATCTGAAAACAAATAACTGGCTAACTAATCCCATACACAACGTGAACTGTCAACCAGACGAGGAAGTGGTTCGCCATATGCAGATATGACTGTATGATTATCCCCGGGATAAATATGCAAATCTATCTCATCCTAGCAGTTTACAACATCGCTAATTGGGAGATTGGCGAAAACTTGAATAAAATCATACTTTTTCTTCCTCTGGTCGTTAGTCATAACCGGAACTTAGAAGTCTTCAAAATTGACACATTCCTCTCAGCACACACACTACTGCACTACCGCTCAAAAACCCTATCCCTTGGTCGTGCTGGGGCTGCATCCGAGCTGCAAGGCATCAGATCGATTCAGGACTTCGAAGTGGTGCCGGAGCCAGTTAGAAAATATTGATTTTCAAAAATTTTGTTTCAGTCTTTATATTTTATGTTGCAGGAAAAGAAAATTATTGACAGGGATAATATATGTTTATCGTTTTAATCGTTTGAGATTCTGAATTGTACTAAAGCAGAACTGGTCGACGGATAGGGGAACTTTTCATTTTCCTCAATCATAAATGTGTATTATGTGTAGGCGTATTACATTTCAGTAATATATAATGAAAGCGTGGTTCGACAAAAGTTTGATAATTTCCGGGTTAGAAAAATAACCAACATGTTACACTATATATTTAATATTGTTAAGATTTATATCTATGAAGGACATACTTCGTATATTTTTCCGTATTTTAGATATATATACCTTGTCCTCATTCAACTTACCAATGTATGATGATAACAGGTTATTTTTTGGCTGTGACTTTACAGTACTCCTCTCCGCCCCCACCGATTATAGTTAATGATAATTTTTTTTACTTTAAATTGTATTCGGAAATAATATCTCATTGTCACAACTGGAACATGACACCGTAGTCATTTAACCGTAAATATATACTACTACGATTTTAACGTCTCTGATTATTCTTGCTGAAGAATATATTCGCAGGAAACTCTTATATTGATATACACTGAACTCTTATACTGATACCACAAAGCGTATTTCCGCTACACAGGGTCGGATTAAGCCCCTTTGGTGCCCTAAGCACTAAAGACTTTGGTGCCCCCTCAGGTGGCTCGGTTGAGCCCTGTTCCTGAGGGAGTGTGACAATAAAGATTCGTGCCTCCAGTCTCAACGTGAATCAAAATACCAAAGGATACAAGTCACAACTGTAGTTTGAAATTTTACCGGTACCTAGTAGTTACCTCAAGGTTGCTAGGTTGAATGACCGCAAAACTTTTGAGGAGGTCTCGCGGGCCGAAAGTCGGAGAAAACCCAAAAGTGATCGAATATCGCGAGTTTGCTTACTTTAATTTAATAAACAACGAGAGTTTACCGTTCTAATCAGACTATTATTTATGTTGCATTGGTGGGCGTTCTTTAAAGAATATATATAAAGCCTTCAGTTATTTTAAAGTTAATTCCCGAGAATGACCGTTGTATTTTGCGCATCTCACGTTTAATGCAGCTTCAAATTATATTTTTTCGTGGCAGATATTACTTGAAATCAAACCAGACACTGTGTGATGGGCAAGGAAATACGTTTAGTTTCCGCCGTGTTTTCTTTATGTCACCTTCTTGCGACACTCATTTTATTACGAATTGTTTATATTGAGTAGTTAAAAAACTTGCAGCGTGAGCAAGCTTAGTGCCATCGTCAAATACCAACCAAGTCCGTCTAAGTTGGTATTTCGGGACCTGCTAAAGAAAAATGGATTGCGCGGCGTTAAGTCGGCTCTGCGTTTCGTCACTACTGTCACGTGGCCGACGCTTGAAAACAGAGCAGTGATTTTACTAAAATAAGAGTACAAAGCGTTAGAAAAAAGGGGTTGAATCTCGGGATCCTAACCCCAGTTGGAATAGCTAAAAAAAACTCAAAAACGTGTCCATATATTTGGGCGTAACTCTCTTGTTGAAAATAAAAGAATTTTTTTTAAAACAAAAATGCAGCAACAAGGAGAATACTAGAAAGAAAAAACAACAACAATTCAAGAAAACGACTCATAGCCATAGGCCCATTTCGTGTCAAATAAATGGGTTTCAGTGTTTATTTTTAATAAAGAAGGTTAATATGATACTTGGAGACGAAAAATAAGCGAACATTTTGAAGTTAGAGTCGTCTGGTGAACTCGTAATATTTTAAATAAACACCGATAAACTATATAAAAATTCTGCTCTAAATTTCTGTGGTGCCCCTCTTTGCTTGGTGCCCTATGCACGTGCTTATATTTGTTTAATGGTTAATCCGGCGCTGCCGCTACATCAAGTTCCGGCGTTCTTGCCTCTATCCCGCTTTGATTTAAATGCATAGGCAGCTTGCTTGTCGTGACTTGCCTATTTGTTTACACTTTACAACTTGACTGGACTCTGAATCTAATCCTCTAACTTACCATAAAAATAGCCTGTGACTCAGCCAATACAACAGAGACAAAACCAAGTGGCTTTAACTGTACTTTATTGAACAATACGGATTCTGGCCTCATAAAATAGAAAGCAGCTTTTAGTAATGAAGAATTGTAAGTTAAAGTAAACATGTAAGTGGCATGAACAGATCCCATTCAAAATAGGGCTGTGCAAAATCAGAAACATCACGCTTCATACGACTGCATCAAAAGGGAAATCATCAAAGCAATTATACGATTTAGAAATTCAGACTAGCGATTACGAAAATCAGATTAATTTGATAGAAATATCAACAATGGATAGGGCGCAAAAAATAGGTTAATTATCCAACTTCAAAACAGTTGAGCATCATGGAATTAACTTAAACCAAATTTGTACTATGTTTTGATACGATACAGTTTCATAAATCACGCAGAGAAAAGATTTATAACTGTGAATATTAGAGAATGTTCCCATCTTAATTACGTAGATATACTACTGCAATTCCTCACTATTCAATGTGAAAACACTTTTATACACAATATTTAAAGTTGAGAATGGTACACATATCGTGCTATATGTAAACTTACAATTTAGAACTATACTAAACTGTTTCCATAAATAAAATAATAATTTTTTAAGTATTACATTTAAAATAAATATAACACACAAAGTCACCGGCATTGCTCATTTACATATTATATTAAATCAACTGACCACTCTAGCCCATTATGTACCGACATCTCTATCCCAGGAATAAAGTCGAAACAAAGGGATAACACTTGGAACGGAGTCAGTGGTTTTCTGTAGGTGGGCGAAGTGGTTTTAGAGCTTCTAAAAAGCAGATGCAGTGAAGTCGATGATCAAAACATGCAACGAATGTCAACTAATATATAATAATATTAATTTCTAATAAAGAAAATAGAGAAAGAAAAGTCTGTACACAGCGTAAAATATGTGGCATTGATCAACCGAATTAATTGACGATATATATTCAAGTTCTTAGAAAATCAAAAGTTGACGAATGAGCAGAGCGAATGATACTGCATAATAAACTCCAATGTTGTTATGATGTATTCGTCCGTTGCCCTCACCATGGTTGAGCCTTTCAAATCACTCTGGATTTGGGAGTGTAACGAGTGTATCCGAAAACATCCTCGTGAAGATACAATCCCATCTGTAAAAATAACAAAAATATACATAACTACAATTATCAAAACGGAAGGGAAATGAGAAAACCCTTCTCAAACTTTGTACTGCAGCATTCCTACTGAAATATTCGTCAATCCGGGCATCAGGGGTAACAGAATTTTTAGATTTTTTATACTTTTTCAAGCAGAAAAATAAAATTTTTATGAATAAAAAAAAAAGATGACTTCCCCAATATGCAGAAAAATCATCGGATTTTAAGAATTTTAGTTAACTTTTAACATAAAACGTTGAAATGATACTAAAGAGAATAGAATTAAGTGGTACAAGCAGAATGTTCGTATTTGTGATCGAACAATCGATTGAAATAAAATATATAACATAGAAGCATCCGATGTTAGTATAAAGTAGATTGCAATGTTTGAAACATTCTATTCAACAATATACTAACTAATGTTTGTGATATTCCAATATGGTTGGGAAAGAATTGAATTATTATTATAGAAAAATATTTTGCAAGCAAAATAACGTTCTCAATACATCGAATTCCGACTCGCAGTCAAAATGCGCTGCCCAAGTTTCCGAAACATGACTCACGCAAATAACCATTTCCAATTAAATTTCACCAACCAAAACAGACAAATACAAACGGAAAAGTTTCGTACCAAACGAAGAAACAAAATATGCTTGAATGCAACAATACATGAACCGTAATAATAAACAAACACATATCTGGTAAACAGCATCTCAACAGAACATTTAAATGTAAGAAATTACTGTCTATTGTTATATGTATGCATTCGCTTGGAACATGCAAATTACATGACACGTCGAATCTAAGACCAACGAATAGAAAGTTCACAATGGTCATTGATACCGCCATAACGCTTTCCGCTTAATGTTAAATAAAATAGGACAATGGTTCCAAACTTTTTGTTCGTGCGCGTTCAGGGAAAAAACTAATGGCGCACTTACACGAAAAAAATTGCAGCCTATAAAAATCCAATTTTGAGATCGTTAATGTGTACTTTATTCCTTTTATAGTTTGTAAACATGTAGGCCTAGCCTAGAGAATATAGGCTAAACAGCAACTTTTTTTCTTCATCTATGTATTATTTTCCTTTGACAAAAATCACTCATGTTCGCTGAACTCGGTTCCGCATTTAAATTTTCGGGGCGTACCAGTGGGAACCGCTGGGATAGGATTCATATATTTAACCTGTGGGAAAAAAATTTTAAATGTAGGCGAACCATACAGTAAACCATACATACAACCCATTTAGTATTCCAAGTAGGTATGAAAATAGGCCTCTTGTATGTAAATATTCCCACGGAAATCGAACATGCGGATATTCATTAACAGTGCTTAAGAAAGTCGTAATCGCTCTAATGTGAAAGCCAATAAATATGCGAAAGAACAAATCAATATAAGATTAATTAAGCAGAATGTGTGGAAAAAGAAGTATTAAAAAGCAAATTATTTCTACTACCCGATTGGGTATATTAAACTTACTACAATAGAAAGAAGTGTAGAAGATAGGTCTTGGGCAAAAGAGGGTTTAAAGCTAGGGGCCAGAAAATTTGCCCACTCAGACTGGCGGGCCACATAAGTGCGACGTAAAAAGTTACATTTTATAAACAATATTTACAGTGTTACAAAAGCAAAGTGGGAAACAATAATCCCCGTGCCAAAACAAAATTTAATCATAATCTCAACTAATTCCTTGGGTCATTTTTGGCTAAACATCAAATTTGGGTTTTGGTTGATTGTGGCAGCATCTGGCGGGCCTGATTGAAGTATCCAACGGGCCGGATTTGGCCCGCGGGCCGTAGTTTGTACATGTCAGGTTTAAAGGCATTGTGTCATCATAGCGTTAATGGTTATAATCGAGCTGTTTGCATCGCACGTTATTTGTAATTTTGTTAAGTGATTAGATAATTACACTAGCACAATCACATGCATGTTGATCTATTTCTATTGCTTAATAATTATATTCTATGTCCATTGCTTCCATGCAACTTCTTACGCTTTTATTTCTTTTTCGAAGTGACGTGGCGCTGACGCACGCTCTTGTTTACTTCGTACGTCCTCAAGGTGACGCCAAAAATATCCTCATGATATAAACCTTCCTCCTGAACATCAATAATACTTCGAAATATCGCAATTTTTTTTCACAAAATTATAAAACAAAGGTTAAATGAAGGATAAAGAGTAAGTATAACTCGAATCCAACGTTGAGAAGATCATCTTTAAGTCTCGTTGTTGTGGGTTTTACATTGCCAAAGTCGGAAGGCAGTTCATATTCAGGTACATATTGTGGGCACAATCAAGGGTACTCCCGTAGTATGTGAACTAAGATGGCGGACACCGGAACGTAGTATGTGTACCAGGTTAGGGTTAGGCGATAATTTTATTCTACAGGAGTACCCAATCAAGTGCACCCCCATGCCTTACACACTCTGTCAGTGATGATCTTTGACCCTACCATTTTATGTGTTTTGCTAATGTTTATAGCAAACAGATTTTCCATATGGTAAAACTAGATTAGCTTATCCAAATACATCATTTAGTGAAGGGTACCAACATGGTCGTCATTTGCCACATGAAATGTTGAAAATCCGAATAAACATACGGTATCTCACCTTCATTTTAGTCACATGTTCTCTAGCTTCCTTTTTGCTAATGTTTGCTTTCTTTTCCAAAACTTCCATTAGTGCATTGTTGACGTCATCAGCCATTGTGACGTCACCACATATGTAGACGTGTCCGCTGTTCTTTAAAAGCCAGTCGTATGCTAGATCAGCTAATTGTTCTTTCAAAACATGCTGAACATATTGCTGTAAACAAGAAAATATTTTATCATTTTATTTACAAGCCATTAACGGCCTAAAAAACGCCGGGATGCACTAAAAACATAATATGATAACCTTGGCGCAATGGTCTAGCATTGTCAGAGACTTTGCCACACATGTATCGTAAATTGAATTCATTATATACATGCGTAGTAACAAGTATATTGAGTATTATTTTTTACGTAGATTGTCAAAAACCAAACCAACTTTAGGTTGTCCCGGAAGTCTCGAAAAAGCCGTATGGTATTCAGTGATAGCTCCACAATTCTTAGCCTCCTGTATTTCATCCTTATATAAATGATCTCGATCTGGGTGACGACAACCGAAAAGTAAAGCAACTTCTCCTACTTGTTTTCCTGCAAAAATATTAGATTTTTGAGTTATATAAACCAGACAGTTAGTTATTCAGATGATTTATTTAATTTATTGCAAAAGTTTAACTGAAAGATTGATTAAATGGCAAACTTTACCTTGTTTAATGTCGTACATCCTTTGTTGCCAGAAACTTCTGAATGGAGCGATTCCTGTTCCCGGACCAATCAATAAACATGGGGCAGAAGAATTTTTCGGAAGATGGAAGCTTGTGGCTCTGCAAAAGACAGAATATAGAACATAAATCTACTAGGACCACATCATGAATAATGTTATCAGAATAACACTTACGGCCTTATAAAGCAGCAAATATCCGATCCAAGTTCCATTCTATTCAAATAAGACGAACATACACCGTGACGTTTTGTTCCCGATCCCCCTGGGATGTGATAGAATGACATTTATTTCACTGAAAATCAGCTTTTAAGACTCTTCGACTATTCTAGCGTTTAAACAGTCAACTACGAATTTCTTCTCTTGCATTTGTGGTTTTTGAATTCGATGATGACGTCAAAATATTAAACTACATCTCTAACCGATATTTTTAATGTTTATCAAAGAATTAATAACATGCTTTGAAAGAACAAATTTTATCCATTCTTGTCCAATCCACATTTGTTGGACATTTTGGGGTACTCCCGTAGTGTGTGTTAGGGTAGGCCATAATTTTTTCCCGATTTTCCTTATTTTAGTTCTATTACGAGTTTTTAAGCTCTTTCTGTATTTGATAATACAGTCATAATTTTTCTTACCTTGGGTATTGTAGCTAACAATAGCAACTGTGCAATGAACTTCGTTTGGATATACATCAGTAGAACTACTTATTGAATAATATCTACATTGCAAAGGACTGAGTTGACTCAAGAGAAGAGATGCTTCTACTCGCACCGAAGGAAATTCCGCTAAAACTTCTGCCAAGTTTGGAAGAAAATGAAACTTCCATTCTTCGTATTCGGACTTTCCCTGAATTATAATTAAAAATGTTGTTATGTAGCAATCAGAGAAGCGTGGTTCATAGAAAATATTTTATTTTCGCGGACATAGGTTACCTAATTAGAATGAAATGAAGTAAATGAGCATAGATCACAATGAAGTAACAAGCTAATTGTGGGAAAAGTGTGGAACAAGTGTGGTAAAAGCGGGAAAAGTGTGGAACAAGTTGAAGCAGTGCGGAAAAACTGGAGTGCGGAACGAGTCAGAAAGATGTAGAACAGTTAGAAGTTTGTAACAAGTGGGAGGAATGTGAAACAAGTTGTAGAAGTCTGGTACAAGTGTGAAACAAATGGGAGAAATGTAGAACAAGTGTGTTAAAGTGTGGCACAACATTTTTGAGACATTCATTCTGAAGCACTCACAATTAAATTTTAAACTAGCAAATAGTTGTGTACACGTTGTCCACCATTCAACGTTGCAGTTGATAAATATACACGTATATTTGACGCTCTTAGAAAACGTTTTTTTTAAAACCATACAAAACTGTACATTTGTGTGAATAATACTATACCGGTATGTGTATTACGTTTGCTACAACAGGCACATTTTGTGATAGTGAGATAAATATACATGTTCATACACTCCACGAAAATGCACTAAATTTATACTACAATGTATAATGAGGATATACATGGCAAACTGTTATTACATAATAGATATATACCCAATGTGTATCCCAGACAAAAAATAGGCTATATCCGATTACGTAGTCCGAATAAATATTCAAGCGAACTATGGCGCATTGGATTACCAGTCGAAGTCGAGGTTACATGTTCAGGATGGATTTGTGTGGTGATATTTTGTCATGAATACTGATGCAAGCTTTCTGAAAGAAGAGTCTCTAATCGCTCCACTTGTACCACTTTTATCGAACTTGCACCACGCTAGAAACACTAGTACCACCACACATGAATCAATTTTCTGGGTTGGGATACATATAAAATCTTGGACGATTGGTTAGTGATGAACATATAGAAGTGGTTTCATGGTATGTACCAGTTTAGAACAGATATAATACTCAACTTTTTGTTTAAATGTATCAAACAGAATTTTTTGTGTGTGTTCGGGCGAGGGGGCACAAGGTTCAGACTAATACGTTGCGTTCTATCATCCATTTGCTATTAAAAAATCTTAAAATCACCGATGCCGTGAAAGAGTTAATATCTCACTAAGTACTAAAACGGTATATTAGTCGAGTGGTGCTATACAATGTGTCATAGAAAACTTGATCACAGAGAGCAAGTCACGCAAAATTTACACACAAAATTGATCACTCACAATCCCACCATTCTGCAGCTAGCGAGCATGAAGGAGAACTAATAAAATTTCTTCAATCAAACTAATGAATAGTAACCATTTACCATTCTATATAAGCTTATTAAAGTTTGAAAAGGTACTTTGATATTGCATCATTATTCACATGCTTTTCCAGAACAATGTATGTAAACATCACTTCTGAGTTCTGGGGCTAGAAAAAAGGCTCGAATTCGAGACTCAAAGTACCAATCCGGTAATAATTAGGTTTAGATTACATATCATGCTTAAGACAATGATTTGAAGAAACGATCAGATGAAATTGGCGATACTTTTGTTCATCAAATTTTAATATGTGCTAGTTACTACTTACCATTGAAAATGGTAAGTAATGAAACATGAGTGGACACCACGAATACATGTAATGAGTGGTATATATATGCTATTTTCCGACGACTGTGGACTTAAAAATTCTCTAAAACAACGTCCCAAATTGGCAAGATGTATGCCGACTTTTATGATCAGCAACTTGTTCAATTCAAAAAAAAATGATCCTACATTTTCTGTTCGGCGATCGTTCGTAACCGTCCATTTGGAACTGACTTATATACACGTGGCGCTCATATTGATTGTCAGATTAAATAACATTATATTATATTAATATTAATTTTTTGGTCACAATGAATTTAACAAAGAAAATAATCTAACCTCTGAAAGCTCTAGCAGTCTCGCTTTCTCTTTGTCATCTGCAGCGCAATCGGCAAATATTTTCAATAGTTGTGGAGTAGGACAAGTTGTAATGTCGAAATAACGCTCAAATGCAGTTCTTAATGTACAGGCAGGAAGACGTTTGTCTGGCAGCCAGTTGCTAATAACACCTGAAAAAAGATGATAGAATTCCGAATATTTTCAACAATTAAATATTTAAAATATTGAACTGATGCAGTAATAAACAATGAAAATTCATAGGAGTTACTCAAACATGGTTACGAACCCTAACTCAAAATAGAAAAACTATCACTGTTAATGTTTAAGTGACACTGTGACACTATTTGCTATTGAAGAATCGGTGATGGCCCAGTGGTCAAAACTCAAACACATCACTCAGTGTGTAATCAATTGGGTAGACGATGCAGAAACGGAAAGATTTCGGTTCCTCAAAAATTAAGGTAGCTCCCCGCATAGAATATCAGTAACAGAATATGCGTAGCCTTGTTAAGTGCAAAAAGCCTATAACTGCGTCGTATAAAAAAAATAAAAAATAAAATAAACATATCTAGCAAATTGTTACCAAGAGGCGTCGTTCGTTGTTCAAATATCTGTAGTTGAATCAATGCTTTTTCATCCACTTTATCGTGAAGTCTCTCTAGAATCCCTGAAAGGGTTAGCAATAAAATGAGCACAAATATGGTTAAATTTTTCATTGAAATATAAATAGTTTAGCAATATAACATACGGTCAACAATTTCAGTTTGGTTACAGGGGTATATTCCGATGTGATCGCCTGGTAGATATTTGATTTCAGAAGAACTTGAAGAATCGAATTCAACAAGGATGGTGCCGCGACTGAAAAAGAAAATATCGTATAAATAGTGTTATCAATTAATACATAAACTTTAGTCTTTTTTGGACACGTTTAGTGGACATAACGATCGTTTCAAAATTTTGTTGTTATTGTTATTTGTCTCCATCATTTTTAAAAAATCGCTTTTCTCTTCGAATACTGGACCAATTGCTTGGAAATTTTCAGTGGTTGAAGATAAAATTTTTCTTCAGAAGGCTATTACTTTTTTTCGCTATGACGTCATCAAAATTATTGCCATTGGGTGGCGCTACGTGCCCATATATTTGAGCATAGCTCTCTTGTTTCGGTATATAAATACATTGCATTCAGCAGTTTAATAAGAACCAACTTGGTCCGGTAATCTAAATAGTCTTCTGGTACAAGTTGGGACCAGAATCGTTAGCAATCTATGCCCGATCTATCATAGTTGTAGTAGTGTATACCTCATTCATGTCAACTAACTATATAGGGCTGGGCATTTTTGAATACCCTGTGATTTCAGAATCGAATCGAATAATTTTTTCGAATCGAATCGAATCTCGAATACTTGGGAATATATAATTGTAAGCGACTTTTCTAGAGTAATAGGTCCTCTTGCCACAGAATTATTGAAGACATAGAATACATCACTCAGTTGGATTACTGAGCGTTCACACACAATAACAAACACGTTTTATCAATAACTCAGTACAGAAATAATGTTATACGTTAGAAATTGCGTTAAAAAAATTATGACTTCAATGAAACAAAAAATGAGGAATTCACCTAGATCATTGGGTGAAAGAAAAACAAGATGGCGGCGATTCGAAATTTAGCTTTGAACCGATTCGAATAATTTACTATTCGATTCGATGCCCAGCACTACCCCTAACCCATGCCAACCGTCCTACTACCGTACCGATACATGCGCGGCATTAGGTTAATACTTCATTTACATATCGTGTGGTCTCGTTTTTTTCGTCTGGTCACCGACTGATGCTATTTCAAGTTTTTTTTATATAACTTGCATAGAAAAAAGTCTTCTTCAAACCGCGCCCAGACGGTTCCTAACATCTGTGTTTATCGGCCTACAGCTAGAGTTTTTCAACATTGAGTTGCGTTTATAATATGCCTAGTCATATTATTAAGCGATATTATCATTATAATCTGTATTTCTGCTTACTTTAATCCCTTGTACGTGAACGCATGTACGCTTTTTTCTCGTTATGTATTATCTCTTTATTATTTCTATGCCTTTATTTACATTTAAATCAATTTGTACATCGATTCCATTATGATATAAATTAAATATAGGAATCTGAATCCGACAGAAAACGAGGCAAATGTGATCAATTCAATTTGTTCCGTTAATGTTATTATTTAGAAAGTATAGCCAATAATTAAATTGATATGAAATATGGTTACTCACTCCTGTTCTCCAGATTGCAAGTTTGTTCGCTTCTTCAATTTACAGCCGGAAACCTTTTTCTTATGAAAGTTGGAGAGCCCTAGAAATTTTTTTTAATTGCATGATGTTTCATTCGTCAAAATTATGTGATCTAATTTCATCCTTAAAATACCTTCCAACAACGCTGGTTCCTCAACATCTTCCGGATCAACAGCTATCCGGAATTTATTTGGACTCCAACTCCTGTCTTGACCAGCTAATGACGCACTTGCAGCTTCCACAGAGACATCTTCACCAACGCAGAATGTTTCACAAGCAATCTAAAAAAATAACAATCCATAAAGTGAAGTTTTTTTTCATAAAGTTTTTTTTTTTCATTTTTGACTGTTTGGGAGTAGTTCTCTTACTTGAAAAACTTTTCTTAGCCCAATTTCTGAAACTCTCTTCTTGTCCGCATAATTCGTCGCCTTCTCCAATTTCAAGCAATCTATCTCCACTCAGTTCTCCGAGTAAAGTGTCGATAGCCGTGAGCAAATGCACAAAAATGTGGGTAAGCTCTCGATCCAAGACCAAATACTGCAAATCTGTGGAACAATTGGTTAATGTAATTGTGTACCAGGTAAATGTATAAAAATGACCATCGCTTGCTACCCCTTGTACCACATTATTAACCATTTGTACTAAATGTACCACTTGTATCCCATATACCAATTGTATCACATATACCACTTGCACCCCATATATCAATTTTACTAAATGTACCACTTGTACCACATACACTAATTGTACCACATGTACCACCAGTACTACATGTACCCTTGGTAAATGGTATTTTTGAGACATCGCTTCTGTGGTATGATATTGAATAACAAAAATGAAAAGATAAACTTTGACAACGCAGAAATGTTGAAATATGAAAACCAATCAAGAGTTATTTATCATCATAATCCCCAAAGAACACAATTCCAATGTAAAGTTTTAAAAATTCAAATACTCGGTTCCTGATAAAGTTGTCATTTACGCTGCAAGATAACGGCCTAAGCTAAATTTCAATTGAAAAAGTAAAAGTAATTTACAACCAACCAACAGCATTGCTCACCGTAAATTAGCAAGAAGACCGGTAGCTTCACCAATATCGGGGAGATCAATCGGTTCCATTGCAACTGATGATCGACGTCTTACAGAAGGTGTTACATTGTGAATACTGGTGAATCTCGTTTTGTCAGTTCCCAAATTGTCTCTGAAATAAAAGAATAAAAAGAAATGAAAACTGAAGTTTTTTAAAAAATAATCAAATACGGAGAAAAAAAGGAAAAGACTCTCTAAATTAAATACTTGAACATAAATTTGAATTTTCTGAACTATTAGACCAATTAATATTTAACGTGAAAATATCTGTTTTTGACTTCCTGATGATAATTTCTCAGTATTGATAATTATATAAAATATGACTGGAAAGAATCGAATTTCAAATAATTTTGAAAGTATTTGCATTTTACATTGTAGATTTCAGAACGAAAAGATCAATGTATATGTCTATATGAATATTACTATAAATTGTTATGTTTGACATTACCTATTATAAAATAATTTTATATTCTATATTAGAATATGTACACGTTCAGAAGTGATTCGCCATAGAAAGTTAATCAGTCTTATTTACTAACAAATTTATAACATTGTTGGGTGGCAGTAAATCTAAACCTTCATTTGGCAATTGTTTTATAATCAATGGGAAATAGCAAAAACTTTATTAATCGATAATCGAAACAATCTGTAATTAGAATCAGAATTGCTTGATTTCAGTGATTTTGTCGATATGACAAAAACTTGAGCGATACTTATATTCTACTGGAATGTGTCAACACCTATGCTTCCAGGAAGCCTCTGTTCAAGTTACAATTGCCGACCAAATAGAAATGGAATTTGTCAGGTTGGCATAGTGCATATATCATTTTCAGATATTGGGTATATGCACACAAAACCTTATCCCTGTGATCTCAACATCTTTCAAAAAGTAATATTATGTACATTTAGATACAGGTTAACGAAATCTCTTCTATTTACCTATTTAAATCTACAACAGGTAATAAAAGAATTAAATCAATTGATATTTAATTGCATATTTGCATTATACAAATTTTCAGTATAATGCATCAATTTCGAGTCCCGTAACAACATAAAACTAGATTTCGAAGAAGTAGAATTAATTTCTGCAGAGCCTAATTCGAGGAAAAATGATAAATATGGAGAAAATCAGTGTAAACGTTTTAGGTCTAGAACAATTATGTTAAATCAAGCTCGAACAAATTGGAAAACACTTTATCAAAAAAAAAATCACCAAATAAATTAAACCATAAAATATATATTAAAATAAAAAAAAAAATAAAAACCACCAAATTGCATATTTGTTCTGAATTAGTTTTAAATAAAATAACAAGTTTGCAAAAATCAAAACACAAACAATTATTTTTCACTCAATTGGTCACTGACGTACGGAGCGGTGGAAGAGCGTTTGAGAAGTCGTTGCATTCGTGGTTTCCTGGTTAATTGAATATCTTTTGAAATTACATACGGTTAAAAAAATAGGCAAAGGTTTTTATTATAAGAGAGGGAAGCCGATAATATGGCCCATTCCTATGAAAAGTCGTGACTTCTGGCCCGGTAGAGCATTTTATTATGTGAAGTATACAATAGGTCCACTGAAAAAAAAATACGCATTTTCACCAACGGATGAAGATATTTTTAAATAATAAAGACTAAGACATTCGTGGCGATAGCAGACTTCTGATTTTGAATGATAATATTAAAAATAAATGATGGGTCAACTATACAGTCTAGGAAAATCGTTTTATTTACCTCATATATGAAATATCTGATGTGCAACTAAATTTAATAATTCAAATAACTTACTGGCTTTCTTCTGGTTTTGATAGCTCCACTAGTGTCTGACCTAGATTCTAAAATAAAAATAATATTGTTACAAAAGCTGAAATTAATAAAAAATTAGTAATAGGTTTTGAACAAAATTTTAATTTTCCAAAATCTAAACCTATATCTTGATACTATGCCACGTTCTTGTGAAATATCATAGTTTTGGTATTTATGCTGGAAAATCAACATAAAACTAACCAATTTCAATATTGATGCTTCCACAACAGTTTTGCTCTCATATACTAACTTGGAATGAATATTTGCTTATAATATGAGCGATTTTTACGAATTATAAATAAAAATATTCAAACTTTTGTAACTTACTACTCCATTTTCAGGGGGATCCCCGTTTCCAAAAGTACTTGTGACAACCAACAGAAGAGTTTCATGTTCCAAGTGTACAATATCATAATCGTCCATGCAGACAACCTATTAGAAAAAAAAGTTTGAGTCTTTGTAACAACTAGACCGGGGTTTCACAAACTGTATCATCGGCTTCCCTGTATGTCAAAAGCAAATATTTTCACTAGGTACTGCAATGCATTTATTCTTCGTCTTTTGATTTATTTAATAGGTTGCCTTGACTGAATCCGCAATGAAGATGCGTAAAAGCAAAATTAGGTATTTTTATTGAAAAGTAAAGGGGCATGTGTTGAGAGTATTTGGGGAAAGATGGTATCAAGAGATTTTGAGAAACACTGAACTAGACGTTTGTCAGATTTGTCAAGTGCAGGTGATTTAGAGCTAAATAAACTGCCAAATTTTACTGAAAATTGAGAGAGAATTTGAGATTTGTCAAGTCGCTAATATCGAACCGGACTACAAAATATCTACAGGATATAGACGCCGCGTAAGAAAATACATTTATTAGAATACCTCAAAAAGTTTGCCAACAAAATTTTCAATGTTCCAACGTATTTAATGAGCAATTTGTAATTTAACTCAACCCCGGAGTAAACTTGTTTTGGTACTCCTGAAGTATGCGCACCAAGATGTCGCATAACCTGAACCCTAACCTGGTACACAACCTGAGTTCAGGTTGTGCGCCATCTTGGTGCGCACACTTCAGGAGGTCCCTTGTTTTAATAAAATTAAAATTCATATTGCAGTTTTTAGTATAATAATTAAGGATTATTTCTCTGCATTAATGTTCCATTCAAAAAAAAATCCAATTTCAGTTATCAGAATTTTCGAAAAAAGCTTTTTTTTATTGAATCACAAATGTATCCAATTTTGAAGAACTAAATTATTTATACATTTTCAGCCTTCTCTACAAGTGTCTACAAATGTCCAATTCCGCATCAAAGACTTAAATGGAGACTTTCTAAATTGATTTTACACTGACCATAAAGGAATTTCGAATAACAAAGCGGTTTTCACGGCCCACATGGCGCAATCCCCATTCCAACTATTCTAATCTAGGTTTTATATATTCAGATAGATACCTTTGCAGCAAAAGCATGGTTGAAAATGTCACACAAAGTCTTCGCATATTCCAATGATTTTCCTGTTTCAGAAGCATACAAAATTGTTGCTTTCACACGATTCGCCATTGCCTTTCCCATCATGGATGACATAATTAGCACGGACCTGAAATAAGTATCAAGAAAAAGTATGGAAAATGTTAGTGTCACAGACTTTTTGAGTCACGAAATAGTTTCGAAAGAGTATAAATAAGACGCCGTAAAACTAAAGATCCATATCGAGATTATTCTATATTATTTAGCGAATTTTGTTTCCGATTTACTACCATTGGGAATTTAAAATTACCATAGAAGTTGAATGCACACAAGACACAAAATATTGCAAGGTCACACGCACTGACTCAGAAGTGAAGAAGATTCATCTTCGAGTGAGACTGCGAGCGACAACTAATATGCCAAGGGGTACTGAAACAACAAATGTACAGTACAGCTTTGCAACTAATTAAAATGAAAAACAGCAAATAAAATGACACTTTTGGGTATTTCTTCCACACCTAAGTTTTTTAAAAAATCTTCGAGCTTCGAGGTAAATTTTAAATGTTAATCTGTTTACATAGCAGTACGACATAGGTTCCCAATCAAAGATAAATTTGAAAGGTATTTTTATTAAAATGACTCACTTTGCAAGCTCTTTGAATCTGATGGCTTTCTTTACTTTGTTGACTTTTCCCTTCCACACATGATATTTCCATGGATCAGGCTATAAAAATTATCACATTTATATACGTGCCATATAAGGCAAAACATACACGGTGAGATCGTGCTTAGCATATACATAGCTGGTTCATACTTCGAAGTATATTTGGAATAAGGCATAATATTTTCATTCCCGTTTTTTTATGAACTTATGAGATCAATTCGTACCTGTACAACACGCTAAAACAACCGTTAAAATTGTGTTGTCTGCTTATAAGATAACTTTCATTTAACCATTGCATGCCGCGCGCTTGCAAGACACTTATATGTTGATTCCGAACAATTTCTATGCAAGTCTAAGGACCGGGTATAGGAGTACGTATTAATTCAATAAATTGAAGAAGTGGTTAAATATTCCCATGGACGACATACTTGTAACTGGACGACCGACTGTGGCTTGCGTAGGGGAAAAAAATCCTATCCTTGTATATTCTGACAAGAAAGGCCGCTATATTTTGTGAACCCGATTTCATGATACTCTCTCTACGTGGCGGCAACCGCGGGCCACACGCATCCAGGTAACAACTCGAGATTCTGATTTATAATTACGATGACCAAAGAGTGAATCCAACTCATTAATTACCTAAAACCTTTGGGGATGTGAGAGATATACATGCGAAAAATATATATGCAAATGAGCGCATAATTTACAACATTTGTTAAATATTTTTATCGATCCGTTAGTCATTGGTAATGCCAATCGACATTAGTGTAGAAATCAAGTCGTTAGTCCTATGCGTGCGACCATGTAATTTAATTTCGGACCTGGCTGGAAGATTTTTAATATAAATTGATACTCGGCTAAGTGCCAGACCTTCGAATTAATTTATCAACCTTTTATCTTGGCTTGCACTCAATATTTTTAACATTTGTAAAATGATAGCCCCGTCCATAGAAGGCTATTGGGCTGCCAAATGGACGGTAATTTTTATTTTGGAACGGCATCTACATGAGACATGTAATGCCCATCGAATAAAATCAGTGTTTTATTTAAAAAGTTGTTCGCTAGATGATTCCACATATCTAGCCTAAATGAAAAATGGTGTTAAATGCACCTAATACCCCATACCTGATATTTACAAGACGGATGAAGAATATAGTTCAAAACTTCCTGGTGGAATATGGGAGTAATGCTTCCAGAAATAGGCGGGGTTAACCAGACCCAATCACCAGGGCAACCGCCACGTAGCTTCAATTCATTGGCGTAATGCTTCATGAACGACTGTGTCGCAGAATGATGATCCATTATCGTAACTCTGTCACTCTAAATTATAAAAATAAATGTCATATTAAATGTTAATTCATAATACAGATAACGAGTTCATTGCGCAGGACGAGCTAATAACCTTCTCCAAGATGTAAGAAGTTAAACAAGTTACACTCAGATCGAAAAATGCCGAGAGTATTAACGGGTCCTGTTGCACCACCAACATCTAATGTTACTCAATACATATGCCAGGATAAGTTATGTTAGGGGTGACCGTACATTTGAACCCATGTACATTTGAACCCATGCGTATATCCACGGGTTCAATCTATATGCGGGTGCTAAAACCCATGGGTTAGGGTTAGTATGGGTTTAACTATCCGTGAAACAAAAAAAATTCCATAGGTGCAATAGCATACAGGTGCAATTGTCATGGGTTCAAATGTACGTGGGTTCAAATGTAATGGAACCTATGTTAGGATATGGTGTCTTCAAGATGACAAGATAAAGGTGGGAAAATAACTTAACCTTCCATATTATTAACATACGAAAACAGATCAGTAATTAGTGACGGCATAATAATAGAACAGTACATATCCATGCATTGAAATTGAAACGTCGGCATCATAAACACTATGTGTCGGGAACCATTGTTAGAACGAAGAAGATTTTCCCACCGCGATGACTATATTGTTACCCGAAAATAAAACGTTTCCCGTCGCCTCGTATTGCGTGACCAAATTGCGTGCGTAATTGACAAACCACGCAGTGACGCATTCTCCCAGTGCGTCTTCAACGGATTGCGTTAAACAATGCTCTGTAACACCTGTAACGACTTTGAGTCGAAGAGTGTAATCTTGGCATTAAACGTGATTACTTATCATCGGCCATGAACGAAATAATACAAAATGCTCTTTTTTGCAACGGATCATGCTTGGCAAAGTATAATAAACAACTTTGTTCTGATTGCGTAAACCGATCATAAATTGCGTTTAGGTCACTAAGGCGAAGTAACAATATACCGACTTCTATTATTTCAGAGTTAAAATTAGTACACTTTAGGTGAATAAATCTGGCATCATTGAATTACGGATACTCCATTGGTGTAAACAAGCGAGAGAAAACTGGGAGAATTGACGAAAAGGGTGATTGGACGACATCTAGGTAACTATATCGTAATAAATCAGGTTTTAGAAGCGATCGAAATGCCACAAATTTTAAATCAAAAATCAGTTCGTGACTTCGTAACGACGTTCCTAATTAAAAATTCCAATTCTCGAATTGTAAAGTTAAGTTGTTTCTGAATCGAAAATAAACCTCAACCAAATATGAGAACTAGATAATGGGTACTACAAATATCTCTAAATCACACTCTGCTAAATGAAATAGATTTATATTTTGAAAGACGATAATCTCACGAAGGCACGCATTAACCTTTCTGGTCGATCGTGAAATTATTTTTAGTATGAAAGGAGGAAAGTAGCCCTTTACCTGGAAATGGTAATTAAAATGCCATTAGATTGAGTAAATAGGTTGATCCAATTTACAAGTAAACCGCTATTTTTGCATTTTGAATCTGAGGGTTAGACAATGCACGAAGTACGATCGCCGTAATTGCATATTTCGTTATGAAAGCGAAGTATTTCGTTTGTTTTATAATTATTATTTCATAAAGGTATTTTGTTATTATAATTAACAAAAGTGGAGGCGAACAGAGCAATACGATTCGGCGAAGCAATGTATAACAAACAATGACAATGTATAACCGTTTTGAAAAAGTGATGCGATGAATTATATACCTGGTAACTATGTAAAACGGCAACGTTGAATTCCACCAATGCAATATCCTTCCACAATGATGACGTGTTCCTTGTATCTAAATTCATCTTTTCTGCTACATCCTGAAACACAAATGTAAATAATACTGAATAGTTCAAACAATACAATGTATACTGTTTTTGTTGCTGTATTCTAAAAAGGGACAATGTCGATTCATTCATAATTGAGGTCATAGGCGGATTGAGAGGGTGTCTTAAAATTATCGTTCACCGCTTGTAACACTTGTACCACATGTCCCGGTTTTACTACTCACAGCAATCATCCGGAGAAGACACGAAGATTTTAATAGTACAAACAAATTACGCGCGCTCCTTGTATGAAATTATTTTGTTTAGATTTGAAAAAATCTTGAAAGCGTTTTATAAGTTTCAGATCAGATGGTGCCTGGTTCCGAGAGAAGCCAAGCTATCAGCAAAACGATGTATAAAACTAGAATCTCGTGGTAACTTATAACTTATATCTTCCCACCTGCAGTACGTTGTACCGAGCAACATCACAAAGATCTCTCGCTATTTCTGTTCCCATAAACCAACCGTTAAATGGTGCGGCAGGAAATTCAAGACCACCAATGTCCAGCAAAACATTTGAGACAGCAGGAACTGCACACCATTTGTATCCAAGTTCTTCAAACCATTTGAACCTTGTTATAGATAAAGTAAAGATATGAATTTTTTTATTTCCGCTGTATATCTGGGAAGCAAGGTAATAGAAGTAACAAAAGCACAAAGAAAATTATATACAAAGTTGACTTCAGTAGCGTGCACCTAACTTTTCCTTTTTGTATCCGTACGCGTCAGTAGATCCGTATATACACGGATTGCGGATATATATATATATATTAAGTAGTTAAAAGGTCTTGCATCACAATTTCCCAAATTTTATTTTATTTACAGTTTACAGGTTGCAAGACATCTGTACCCAACGAAATAATATACAACGTAAAATTGCCAAGGATTTACACGAGGGGCGGGCAAGTTTTTTAAACCAGGGGCCAAATTTTGCCTACATAGACTGGAGGGCCATGCGTGACGTCAAAAGTTCCCTTTTATGAACAATATTTACATTGTTATGAAAGCAAAAGTGGAAAACAATAAGCCTTGTGCCAGAACTAAATTTAATCGCAATCTCAACAAATTCTTTGAGCTATTTTTAGCTAAAACATCCCAATTTGGTTTTAGTTTGGTTGTGGCAGCATCAGGCGGGCCAGATCGAATTAGCCAACGGGCCGGATTTGGCCCGCGGGCCGTAGTTTGCCCATGTCAATTTTATACGAAGTGTTATAGTATATGCCAAGGTGTTAAGATACGATTTCTAATAGTACAAATCAATAACTCAATGCGATAAACCTACCTGGGATGACGCAATTTTACTTCAAGAGCCAAGTCCGGTGGAATTTCGTATATATCAGGATCTTCTCCATTAGCTTGCAGTACCAAAGGTAAGATATCAAATCTACCAAATTTTGGCTTCCAACCAAGCTTGATACAAACCTAAAATAAAAGAAATAGTAATTATAAATTTAGTAGGCTATGCCAGATCGAAACGATCACAGTATTTGGAATCATAGGAACTCTAAAATTACTTCTTATGTGGAGCCTTCTTCGGAGAGTATGTCTTAATACGTTTTTAAAAGAGACGACTCAAGACAAGGCCATGCGCACTCACTCGGAAGCAAAGGAATCCCATATCCAAATCCAATTACCAACAAACATTGAAATGGCATTGAAATAATATAGCAATATGGCGGTGCATAACGCGATTGCAAATATTCAAAACTGAAGCAACAATCATCAAATTGATCAGGAAAACAACTATAAAGTATTGAATTTCACGCTAGCGTTTTTAAAACTAGGAATTGAAACGGAGAAATAGAATAGTGAGCGTATCTTTGTAAAATGAAAAAGTTTTAAAATGCGCCCTCTTGGCCGTTGGCTGCCATTTTTTTACGATGTTGTTTAACTGAATTACCTCTACGTTATTTTTTAAGAAAAACGGCGATTTCAAATATTTCCAATTTGATACTATTTTATCGAATTATTATACGATTAAAACTTTCCGTCTTTTCTTACAAACGGCGCCCGTTACACGAGCTGACATACGCTGGATACGCCACTGAGTGAGTGTGAGTGAGAGGCATAAATTGAGTAGTAAATTTGACAATATCTTAATTCAAGTCACGACAAGGTAAATTAATAACAAAACTCTGACATAATGTAATTGAAGTACAATGTGTATATCATACTTATATACATAGTGAATATCGGATGACATTAGGGACATGTTTACACGACCACGAAACTAGAATATATTCATTCCAACCATGCTTGGCCGCATGTGTTAAATTAATTAAAATGAGAATATTATTCACGAATATCAAACAAATGTGATTAATTGGGAAATAATGATTATGAACTGATAATCAAACAACTCAATATTTAATCGACATGATTAATTGATTTTATATACAGCACTTAGCATATTGGAGGAACCTACAACTAACCATCAAAGAATTCAAAGAACTAACTGTTGCCTAATAGTTTTTTCCCTTGATCGATCAAATATTTGTATCAAAATTTGTACGCAGGGGTACGTGCGCGACAGCCGTCTTGCATGCAAATTTGACGATATAGCTGATTTTAGAGAAAAATGCTAAATGTCTGTGCATGACTTTAAACTTCCGGCATGAAAACCCATTTAAGAAGTGAGTTATAAATATAATTCTGCACAAATACATGTATGGGATTTAAAATCGCGTGCGGTTTTCTATTTAATTCTTAAAGTTGTCAAATTTGAAAATCAACATCAAACAGCGTATTTTCATTTGCATCGAATTGCTTTAAAGATGTTGATGTAGCTTTTTCGTTAAACGTTGTTTCGATGATATTCTGCACAGTGACTTCTCTAGATTCTGAGTATTTCAAAAACTCGAACAAAAAACTCCAATACGTATGACAGATTTGGAATAACGGGCTCTATTTAACTCTCTGAAATTCTTATTATTTAGCAATAAACAATATAATACTGAAATGTATAGTAGAAAAAAATGGGACCTCCAGAAGTATGCGCACCATCCTGCACATCCTGAACATAGTATGTGAGTACCGGTTTGGATTCAGGTTGTGCGACATCTCGGTGCGCATACACTGTTAAAAAAATTAGTAAATATACTAATTTTTCTAGTAAATTTTTACTAATTTTTCGAGTATTTTATTGAAATCACGTGACTTGCTTAGCTAAGCCAATCAGGGTGCTTGTTTGTTAATAGTTTACTAATGAATAGTAATTTCACTGATCAGTTAGTAATTAATATAACAGAAAAATAGTAAAAAGATTTGTATACTTGGAAAAAGTAGTAATTTCACTGATCAGTTAGTAATTAATATAACAGAAAAATAGTAAAAAGATTTGTATACTTGGAAAAAGTAAAAAAAATCTAAGTTCCTCTAATTTACGAGTAACTATTCTTTCCAATGAACGAATTTATCTACCTACGCATGCGATATAGTCACGAAGCAAATTTAAATACTTTAAAATTTCATCTAAATTTTGCTCTGGGTATCAAATTAATTTGAATTAATTTTATTCTAGAATTATTTTGGTTCATCACCCAAAAATTCTGATTGTTTTGCTATTGCATTAGACAAGATAAGATATTGTTTTATATCTGCGGACCTATTTGTCCAAATATTCATCCGCAAAAACTCCACGGGGCAGGTTGCGTGCGCAGCATTTTTGATTTCGAGTTTCCTTGTGCCGCGCATCTCGGCTGGGACGCTAAGCTGTTTGGGAGCTCAGCATCGGTTGCGTGCGTATGAAAACTGAATGCGGTACGTATGTTAAGTATGCAATAGCGTGAGTCTGAGTTTGATGATTGTGTTAGCAACGGTCTGTACGGTAGCTGCGAATTTACCACGGGTAGTGGTCTGAATATTGAGGTACCGGTACTGGTACTTTTTGCAGAGATCAAAGTGTCCTATATTTTAATCCTTCTCTTTCCGGTCATAGGTCATTTAGTACCGGTAATGTGCCAATTATGACATCACTCAAATGTCACGTGCCTGTAGCCCGCGCTTTTTCTGGTTCAGGAATTAGGACTCGGTAAGCGAGGCTCTTTGTCGTTAGTGGATGTTTATTTTAGGCGGTTGGTTTTTGTAGCTTTTCATGCGTTAATTGAGCATGTTTGTGTTACAGTAGCAGACTTGTAGTTGGTAGACCAAAATATTCTTTAAATACCGTGTACATCAGCATCTAATGGTACCGGTACCGTAGCCTACCTGTATACAGCGACATGCTTACACACTGCGTTAGTTTCGCCGTCTTACCGGTACCGGTATATATCGACGACCAAGAGTAAAAATCTGAATTGGCTATTTCAGTATTTGTTTCGGAATAGATGTAACTTACCGGTAGCCTATGGTGATAGGATACGTTCAAACGTTACAAGTCAGTGGCAACAATAGGTACGGTACCGGTAACAGACAGATGAATTCAACTATACCTACAAAGTCTACAAGGCGGCCATCTTGTTCGGAACGTATTTGGCGATTTCACAATTTACACTGTATTATTTGACTGTTTTTAAGCGTTTTAGCAGGGTTCTTGGTGTTTTTTGACGGTTTTCACTGTTTTTAAGCGTTTTAGCAGGGTTCTTGGTGTTTTTTGACGGTTTTTCACTGTTTTTAAGGGTTTTAGCAGGGTTCTTGGTGTTTTTTGACGGTTTTTCACTGTTTTTAAGCGTTTTAGCAGGATTCTTGGTGTTTTTTGACGGGTTTTCACTGTTTTTAGGCGTTTTAGCAGGGTTCTTGGTGTTTTTTGACGGTTTTTCACTGTTTTTAAGCGTTTTAGCAGGGTTCTTGGTGTTTTTTGACGGTTTTCACTGTTTTTAAGCGTTTAGCAGGGTTCTTGGTGTTTTTTGACGGTTTTTCACTGTTTTTAAGCGTTTTAGCAGGCATTATTATTTAGAACATTGAAATATTCAACCAATAAGAAAATTTCTGAATTTATAAGTTCTTCAAAATCGGAATCAAAGAGTCTGAAAACTGAATTACCAAAATCGACTGGGGTGGTCACGTTGATCGCCTATTATTTCGGAGAAACCTAAACCAAATATTTAAGTGTTTCCAGGTATGTTCTATGCTTTTTTTGTGTAAAGTACTTTTTTTTGAAAGTTTTTGCATCAAGAGTAATGTAACTTCTGCACAACACTGTTCGTATAAAGTTTTGTGAGCCGACTGCAAATTAATTGGAAACTAACTGCATGATAGTGGTTAACGGAATTTTTTTGCATATACATTCACTACTTTGCCTATTTTCAGAAAGAAACCACTTTTTCCCAGATATTAAAAGATATTCCAAAATCTCCATTTATTGCTTGCATAGGTAAGTGTTAGAGGTGAGCGATGTAATTGTGAATATCGGGAACAATTTCGAAAAATGATATGATAGCTGTTTTCCTGTGATTAATTCTGCGCAACTTTTTCAAAGGCCATTTTGTGTCGCCATATACTTCTCAGTTGTGATTATTATAAAATAATATCACCAGCTTCTGTCATGCAACCTGCTTTAACTGTTGCGTCACAGTATGCATTGCTTGAAATATGAAATATATTATTTCTGAAAGAACGTAATGCGCATCATAAGCCTCATCAATGTAATAAGTTCTCCCTTCGTTTTATCAGTGTTGCGCTTGCTATCAACGGTGAGTGAAAATAAGAACAAATCCATGTCTGCTATGTTAGATATATAGCCAAAGCCAATTTGGAGATGATCGTACTATTATACAATTAATAATTGTGTAATTGCATATTATCAAAAAAATCACTAATCATCCACCTCTAGTAAGTGTATTTGTTATTAGTTGGCTTTAGAAGTTGAGATAATAAGATTAATCAACCTGTCGAGTGACTTTCACTTTATTCATAAGCCTATAGATTCGAAGCTAAAGTTTACAATCTTGTGTTTCAGGTAACACGGTAGCGACTGCTGAGACTTTTTACGTCATCGCTGAACGAGAAGTGGTGTGTTCCTGTAGATCGTTTTTTGAAGCGGTAGCTTTTCAGTTTGCTTCGTTCTATGTTTTCAACATAGAATATCCAAAGAAGGCCTTGCTGACGTTTGATTTTATTCAGAGGTAAGAAAAAATGTGCTAGTCTACAGTGCTGATATAATTCTTGCTGTTGGCACAATGTACACGTTGTTGACGAATTACCTGTTTCTTCTGTCATGTAGTGTTATTTGATGACATACAATACAAAAATGGGTTGTGAAAAGGAAATATGTGACTGGACTTGCACAAACTCATGGTGTCCATATCCTGGGGACTGGGCCATAAGTGGGGCTGAGAATAATTTAATTAGTTAAACAGTTTTAGGTGGTTAATAATAGACTGACTGGCGGTACCACACATGTTTCCTCCTAATCTAATATGTTTTACATCCATATGTGAAAAATGAACTCACAACAATCCTATTTTAGTGAACTTCAATTTCAAACGATGTCACTGTGCTCTCCATTTTGTAGCAGGAAATTTTTGATATATTTGCAAAAAATCATTACTAATGACAGAAATTAATACAATATTTTTCAATTGCTGCATTTGCAATCGAATGTCAACGAGCGGATGAGCCTATTGCGATTTGCGACAACTGGAGGCTAGGAGGATCTGGTGCTTCTTGGTTTAGCAATTGCATTCCTGGCCCACTGGCAGTTTTTTGTTTATCCCTTGGCAAGGCACGATACATTATAAATACCTGACATTTTTACTATTTTTGTCCAGTGTTTGTGTTTTTACTATTTTGGTGGTGAGATGACAGGACGTTTTCCAAATTTCATATGTGAAACCTATTCGCCATTTAAGTTCGGTCTTTTTTCAGGTTCTTCGGTGACATAAACCCCAGAGGCACTAAGTCGAAAAAAAGTAAAGGCAAAGACGTTCATGCAAAAGTAATCGGCCTTGCAAGAAGAGTGAATCTATCACAGGCGTTATATGTGCCGTTGTTAGAAATTGATGTTTAAGTAAACTTTGGTGGTGTTACTGCAGCTTACATCACTTTTGACCAGGGGTGAAAACTCGATCAAATTTTCACATGCCTTTGATTGAGTTTCTCAAGTTCGAGTTCATTACCCTGGTCAGGGGTTTGAGTTCATGTATTTGATAGAGTTTTTCGAAGTTCGAGTTCGCAGCCCTGCTTTTGGCTGATCGATTAATTTGATAAAAAATGATTTAGCTGTGTGTTGGGTGTGAAGTCTGGATAATTTTAAACAAACTCTGCTCCGTAATCTTCTTCAACCACAAAATTTCTGGCTTCCACTCATGACTATCAACTCCCACATTTGCAAATATATGACTCCGTCTTCTGCTCAAGACTCTTTCAAAATATGAATTAAAACTCTTGACTCCCTGATCTTATAAGATTTGACTGCTGCTATGCTAGCTGCTTTAGTGTAACTTTTTGTCCAGTTTTATCAATTTTAACATTTTCGAATTTGCAACTTCTGCAAACTCTGCTCCTAGCTCATGAGCTTTAAAAATGTCCAGTCAAACTCTATTCATAAGTGTGGATAAACTCCGACTATGATTAACTCTATAGACTCGCAAGCTTCAAAATTTAGAACTCCCACTCATGCTCCTACCAAAATCCTCAAACTCCCGCTCTTCGACTTCACGCCCCTTGAAATCTTATCTTGAAAATTATCTTGCATAATTAACTTTAGAATTTGTCATCTTTGAAACTCTTGCCATAGCTACAAAATAGGTTGCATGATATTTCCCAAAATTTTCATTTTGAAACATTATAATTAGAGTAAAGTGCAAAAAATCGTGAAATTCTTACAATAGTCTCGTTATTATGTCACGTTTGCCAGCGTCTCATAGCCTGGTATCCAGAAATTTGATTTCAAAATAAGTTTGTCAACTAAACAACCCAGTCCTAAAACGTTTTCTTGTTTGACTTTATTTGGATCTATTGAGATAAATAAATAGACCTCGAAATGTATAGACCAGATTTCTAACAAGTGCCAATAGAAACTCGATTTTGATCCATTACATACAGAATTCCTATGTCCTACAAGAACTTGTGCCCTCATTTTATTGCATGGATAGCCTTCAACGTCTCCTAATAGGTGTTTAAATTTGACTGTAGACCATATATTTTCTGAAATTTCTTTCGAAACTGTTTTACAAGCCTTAAAGGCGTTCAGTGTGTATTTATGGTTTTATAAAAATATCAATTGTAATAAAATGATTTTCGTTTCCAGAATCTCGTTTTTTTTATTTTAACTGTAATATGTGTGTTTACTGTTGTGTCGTGCTAGTAAATAGCTTTGCTACTCTCGTAGTGGTTCGGTCATCGCGAGTGAGAAATTACCATCATGCTAGTATTGTATGGTACTACTGTCGGGTAAGGTAGCTGCCATCGAGATAGTAATTTTATTTACTATTTTAAGGTAAAAAATATTACTACTGGTGGGTAGGTTTACTGCCGTCAAAAAAGTAGTATTTTTTACAGTTTTATAGTAATTTTTGCTACCATCAATCTCTGTAAATTTACTGAAAATACTGTTCATAATACTACTGATAGGGCCTGTAAATTTTTTTACATGGGCCAGTACTTTTGCTGCCATTTTTTTTTAGTAAATTTGGAAAAAATTTTTTAACAGTGTACTTCTGGAGCCCCAAAATATGAAAAGCACCTCCGTAAATTCCACATTTGCAGGATCACCAATTATGCTTCCGTCAGGTTGTCCGTATCCTGCATATCTTATATACTGAGAACTCCAGACTCGGAAATCTTTCTTGTAATCCGTTCTTTGAGGAAAAAAGGTGATGCAAGACCTGAAGATATAAAATTTATATATACCGGATGTACGCAATATATTACGTAATAAAAAGCGAAAAGTCTCAGGTTCGAACGTATGCCCTTGATTTCACCCAACGAGGCGTGTTCTGAGTGAGTGCAAGTAAACAAATCATAGTGAAATAAATTGCTGGGTCATGATTTACTTGAAAAAATGTCGCATAAAATCATCTCTGAAGCACTAAATACATACAAAAGATAGACGGAAAAACAACTTGACTTAACCACTATTTACCATGTGAGTAACTCCACACTATGCCAACACAGACAGAATTTATATCTTATTATTAAGGTATGTACAAATATTAAAGTAACATCGCGGTACTCGTGACCTTTCTTTGAGCAAACTTAATTTTACGCGTGGGTAGAAATGTAGTTATCTTCAAAATATATGGGGGTGAAAAAAATACATGTTTTATTGTTTAATCCATGAAGTTTTATTAAAATATTTATTTCAGTTGTAATATTCAATAGGCTGAATCGTTAAAGTTTATGAATTTCGAAAAATCGGTTCACTTCAAATATTTGCCTTCTTTTCTTGGGTTTTAAATTAAATTGAGTTTGGATATTTTTTTGGAAATATATTCGTTTAATTAAACAGACGCTTATTGAAAACGTAGGACATAACAACCGTCGAAAGTTTCATATGCTATTTATCCAAGCTTCATTTAATAAGGTCATTCTAAATCCAGGGCTTTGCTTTTCGCGACCGAGTTTGAATTAGTGTATGTAGAAGTAAAACCCCGTACACCATTGATCCGTGGCTGCAGGACATGGTTGTCAATAAATATCTGTTACCCAAACTTAAATTCAATATAGCACAGGTAGAACAATATTTCACAGATTCATGTTTTGAGTGAGAAATCTTCATTATAAACGAATTGAATTCCTAATAATACTGTTCGTTGATATGAAACAACAGCAAGTTTAGAGGAAAAGATGGCTGAAAATGTATAGACATATGGAAGTGAACTATGACTTCATCGAAAGCTAAATTTGGTCCGATCGTAGTTCATATTGTTTTGATGGCTGTCGAGCAAGTTGCCCTAAATTGACAGTATCCTTCATATACATGTCTCTGTAAATCATTAATTCGTCAGTTATTAAAAGACTGCTTTTTTGTAGCTAGATGGTTGCAATTTGAGTTAATCGAGCCACGGTGAATTAACGTAAAATGCATCTTATACGCTTAAAATGGCAACTGGCAAATTTTTGACTTCGCTTTTGGTTCAAGTCAAAGAACCTTTGAGATTATTTGCAAAAGTCATTCTCGCGCAAACAGGCGTGTTTTTGATAAAGTCAATTAAGTACAATATACTATTCCACTCCTGGTTTCTAAGTATATGTTTGAAAAACAGTGGCGACCTGATTAAAAATTTATGATGTAATATAAATTTACTTAGGTCAGAATCAAATTTGAATCACCCATGATTCCAGACACTTTAAAACATACGAATCATAGTGAAGTCAAAACAATGATTACTTTTGCTTTATTTTCAACAATTGGCCATAGGTGGACCGCACCAGCCATCTATAGCCTATCTCCGCTATGTAATACAATCTAAATATGTTTGAGCTGGCTATATTTTTACGTGTAGTGAAGTTATAGAAAAAGGAGAATTTGATATTTAGGAATCAGTTTGGTCATGTTTTAAAATTGAATCTTGCCTTGAAGAATTTAATGCAATTGAATAACTGAAAGTTTTTATTATGACATAGTGTTTTATGTTTAGCCTTCGAGATTCAACTCAGATTTTTGTCCATTATAAAACTTAATTCTATAGTTTGTTGGTTGCATTATTCATAAGCTTTATAAAAATGCAACGACCTATAAAATAAACTTTTGGAAATGGATAATTCTGAAAAATCTGAGTTAAATTTATGGTGGTCGAGAATCAAACCATATGCCAAACTATTGCATTGGTACGCTCAAACGCGACAATATATTTCCATCATCGTTTTTTTCAATCCATTTCGACTAAGCCTTTTTTAAATGTTGAATACATTCGAATAAATTGCATTTAGAGTTAATAAAAGTTCCAAGAAAAATCAGGCACTTTAATTAATTATATGACTGGTTATGTTTTAGTTTGCCATACAGGAAGTTCATAAAGTCCTGTTGCAATTTTAATTTTGTTATGAACTCAGTTATCAGTGTATTTTAAGGTTTGTTTTAGTATATTTAGTAATAAGGCTTTTTTACTTTATTCGATACACTTGTTGGGACTAACACACTATATATGGTGTCGATAAATTTTCTTTGAAATTTAAAAAATGAACCAATGGCCAAACTATGACCTGGTACACATTTTACGTTCCGGTGCCCGCCATCTTGGTTTAAATATTTCAGAAGTACCAAATATTGTGGTTGAATGCAAACCATAATACTTGATAATCGGACAAATAAACAACAGGATTACATCCCACAGTCTGGAATACGTGAGGGAATTGCGAAAACATCAAAGCGAGTGAAAATCCACCAAGAAATTTGGCGACATTGTAAAACAATACCCCAGTCTATATTTCTCCAAAATATTGCCAAATCACGCCTAGTTGAGCAAAATTCAGGAATGAACCAAAAATTTAAAAATTCTGTCTTTAATACAGAAGAAAGGACGCTATTTTCAACCTAGGATTTGTTTATTGTGGCGAAATGTCTACGCGTGATGAACCGTATTATTTTTGGATCAGGGTTTCTCTATAAAAATAACAATCGCGTTCCCCAACAGCAGCTGTTTTTCCAAATCGTATTTCGTGGTCAAGATTTCAATTTCGAAAACAAAATAACACGATACAAATCGAACAAAAGCAAGTCGGAATCGTTCTTTTTATGTGGTCGTACCCGTGGGAGACATGGACATGACGATCCTAATTATTCTTTCCATCGTATACCTAGATATACACAATTTAAATGTGCAAGGGTTATATAATTCATGTACGTTCGACGTAAGTATGTTGAGAGTGAGAAGAATGGGCCCCAATGAAGATGGCGATCAAACTATATTCGAAGCAAATATAATTCAAAAAAAAAAATATATATATATATATATACTAACCCTTTGGTTAGAAGATGCTTGGTACATGGTGGCCCGAAATACCTGAGCCCATAAATTTCTTAGTTACTTCTTTGAAAACAATGAACATTTACTAAGCACTTGCACTTCTGTTTGTGTGTGATTGTACCCGAAAGTTTAAGAAATCTAGGACGCTTTGCACAAAAGTTATGTTCTCTCTCTGATATGTTCACCTTTGAACTTTTCAAATGGGTTCTCAATTATCTGTTCAGGCCAATTGCAAACAAAACGCACGCTATTTAAAACAACACCGGGTAACCACCGTAAAGTAACCCTCCCCTGACGCCACCACAAAAAATCAAAGTAAAAAAAACAATTCCTCCAAACGAGTGATTTAATCTTCAAGGGGATCGGTAAATTCTATTGTACCGGTAAGATCAAATGTAATTTATATTTTTCTAAGATTTTTTTGCATCTAATGTTTGAAATCCACCCACGTTCCGAATTGGCGCCGTGCTGACTGTACAATATACCACGAAACGCTTCATTTCCTTAACCATCATTAAGGTTCAGATACTCCCAAACAATGGATCTGAGAATATTTTAGTACAAGGATGAATAACAAGAATGCGGATAGCAAATCGGTGTAAAATGATCGTTGGTGCTATGCTGATATTGCTTATCATTAATTTTCTGATTCGTTTTCTTTGACTCTGTTTCTCTCTGGTACAGTTAGGTAGGTCAATAATCTAACGTAACTTCTTGTAATGGGGTGATAACAAGATGATACCAAATCATACATCACACTTTTGCGAGTTTAAATCTGCAACGCACATCTTTGTATATATAAAGTTACTGCTAGTAGGAAGATTTTCTCGGAGCGAGACACATTATAAAATAATTCAGTTTGACCGGGGAAGCGAAAACGTGATGGAATGGAGTGTGTGAAAGTGTATTTTATGGTAAACTAGAAATTATTAAATTTCTGATTGACGGCACCCCAAAAAAATCAAAAAAATTTAGTAAGTTTTATGTTATTTGTTGGTATGTTGAATTCAAGTTCACGGACTTTCTGATTCCTATAATAAATGAAGTCGGATTGGCCATTGGTGAATCCGAACCTCTTGTCAATGGATAAATTTATTCGACAGCAAAATATATAAAAAAAAATTCCCCGCAGTAATATTTTACATAAACCTACCTATAACCATAGAAAGAAAAGTTCAAAAGTAGACCCTTTGGCCTGCGTTCAATTAAATTGTCGGTACACGATGTCGGCACACGACGATTAGTGAAAATGTTTTACCTGATGTTTCCTTTGTTTGTAGCATATTTAAGATGGTTGCAAATTGCATCGAACATTTGTGCGGTGTTATCAACATGACGGTAATCAAAAACCTGTTTAAATAATGGAAATCGTGATAAAGAGCTTCATCTATTTACCATAAAATAAATGCCTGTTTAGGTATTTTACCGTATAAAAACAACAATGAATTTTTGTGGTGGATTTGCAAGCGTTGAACTACGTTGGCCTCGCAGGTACGTTTTGTAGTTATAATGTATATCCGCTTCGAAAAAAGCTCAAGACAAGTAAGACTACTACGCAACAAAACTACAATTCTTAGGAGGAGAACATTCCCATTCCCGAATGCCATGCTATTTACCGCGCGTGGGTGGTAGACATGACGTTTGCCCACAAAGTATTGAAACTAGGAAGCCATCATACTCAGTTCCAGCGAACTAAACATCAGGTTATCGTGAATGTAGGCTTTATGTCATAATAAATGATATGGTTAGACAGTGATTGATTATATTCACTAAACCTTCAATAAATTTGTACCACGATCATTGATTTATCATGCTTAGACTTGGAAATGACACACGTCGGTAAAAAGTAAGTATATTAGGCATTTGGTCATTCTTTGAATATACCAATTCTCCTATTATTAATCAATTTTTCTACAAAATGAAAAAAGTATTTTGTTTTACCACCCGAAGGAAACAGAAAACAAACAAAAAATTGTTAAAATGAAAGCTAAGTTTGAATACTTTAAAAATTTTGATATTGTGTTTAAAGAAAAATGAGTTATATATAAAGGTTTTATAAAATCTCGAGTGGAAAATACGAAATCAAAATACAAAAACCTATATACTTGTAATTTGTTCCATTGTATTCTTCCAATGCACCTGGGTGCGTTTCTCCAGGCAGTCTTTGCTCCGAATATCAATTCGTATTCGGTAAGTTGATAACTTCCAGTTTTTTCAATTGATTCGACAACTTCTGCCAAACGTTTCTTTTCCATTTCTGGATTTTTTCTAGATGAAAATAAAATTTAAATACAAAGCAAATTTTGGTCCAATATTTTTAAACCATCTTGGTAAAAAAATGGATAAGCCACGTTGAACGATTATAAGATTACGGCCATTGTAAAATTGAATAGCTCTTTCAAACGTATGTACATATAAGGCTCATTTACAGATACGCTCAAAAAAATTTCCTGCTGATATGAAAAATTACCAAGATTTGTTGGCAGTTTGTTTTTGACCGCGGTTCAAAAGCAATAGCCAAAACGGCTTAAAAAAAAAAAATTGGAAATCATTTTTCAGTTTTTAATATTTACACAAATATGTTGTTTGTTTATAAAAATATAACGTGAAATGTCGCTGGGTGTTATTTTTAAACGATTTTCGACCTGTCATGAAACAATAAATATTTGTTCATATACGTTTTCGAAATACCATAAAATTGATCAATATATCTGATGCAATATTAACAAAATCAATAAAATCACTATTCCGATTTGTTTTCATTTGATAAATGAATAAGTGAATGAATTAACCTAAAATAGTAATTTGATCAATGAACGTAAGAGCTTATTATCACATTAAACCGCAGCGTTAATCAAAGTCAAGTGGCTTGTGGGTTATTTCCCATGAGAAAAAAACGTTTGGCCCAAATCAGAAAAAAAACAGTGAAAAGCCATCAGGTAAAGGCAATTTAAAAAATGTCACGCTACCTGTGAATTATGTCCCAATTGAGAAATAAATGATTAATTAGCGAAATCCAATAGTTTAGTTATGGTCATAGTTTAGTATATTTTCACATCTATGCTAGGTATAAGGTCCTGGGTAAGCACAAGAAATTACTAAAAATTTTAAATGATGAATGCATCAGATGTACTGGAACAAAGTCAATTGACTGTAAATTGACATTAGTTTGTTTTGTTTGCAGTAAACTGATGCTTCAATACGGAAGACTATGGGCCATACTTGGACATTATAAACTTGAAATAAAATAAATTATCTCTTCAAAATGATGATGTCCGCAAGTTCCGCTAAAATCCAAAATCTAGTTTTCGACTTGTTAATCATATTAACGCTAATAACTCAGGATGCCATGTTCCAAATGAGCGACGAAAGTGGTGGTAAAATCTCATGGTCGATTTGATTTCTGGCAGGAGAAAAGTAAAGATGGGTAACAACTAAATGGACTTTGCTATAAAATGGGCCAATATTATAATGACATTTCAAAGGTTTTAATTCAAATTACAGAGTAAAAACTCTGTACACAATATATTTACACATTATTTGTACACTTTATACACAATATATCTCAAGTTGATATTGAGAAAGACCTAATAAGGAGGTATCTCTTAAAAAAATATTTATTATCGATGTGGTTCCGGTCGATAATCCGCATCCGATAAGAAAATAATAATACCCAATCTGATACCTTTTCATGGATCCGTAATACTGTTTTATAAAATCGACAGCCATTTCTAATTTTTCTTCTTTCGACCTGACGTTTTTACGTGGATCAATTGACATGTGATCAGGATTCATGACGCTTCCTAAGCATTTGTTTCTGGTGCAACCAGTGGCAACCTGAAGGAATAAAGTATTTAGTTGAATGTTGCAGTAAATTAGGCCCATGGGTGTGCAACATTTTCTGTCGGTCGGCCATATAACCAACTCCATACATCTAGTTAGGCGTAGCGACAAAAAATCATTATGTATTTTTACCCATGTGAGCTTTTTTTCGAACATAAACTGTCGGATTAGAATTTTATGCTTGGTGGGGAATAAATTTGTGTGTTGACAAGGGCCAAACTAAATAGTTTGGCGGGCCGGGTTGGGGAACACGGACCACCTGTTGTACACTCCTGGTCTAGGCCCTACGTCTAAGCATTATGTGCGCCCCTGCTCTTGGAAAATGTTGTGAAATTTTTACTCTTCATTCAAAATATCTTAGCAGTGAATTTTTAAAATAATTTTAATGTTTTTCTCATCTCCGGCACAATAATTCTAACAACTTTAAAGTTCGAAATTATCAGCGCATCAGGGAAAAAAAAACGTTGGGACTGCAATAAATTTCAGTTGACTAGAAAATACATAGCGACAACGGCCAGTATCATTTGTTTTTCGCAAATTTTCAAGTCAGATTATTAAATTTTCGACAAGGCAATTTTTATATAGTTCAGTCTTAAACAATTTGGAGTTTTGTGTGCATCATTCATAAACAGTACGCATCATAAAGTTCACACAACACTTAAAGGAAATTTCAATGCCAATGAGAAATTGTTTTATGAAGTTCATTTATAAATAGTTCGCAGAAGACACCTAATTTTGGCAAAGCTATAACATGACCTCCAAAACAGGACGTATTTTTAATCTCACAAAACATTGAGAAAAAGTTCAACCCATATTCCACAAATATTAAATGCAAAACGTTTCTCCCTCGTTTAATCGGCGACGTACTTTGCGTCACAGTTAAAGATACTGCGGTTAGAAATAACATAATTATTGAAAAAGTCTCAATTGCTTGCGTCATTCTTACTCCATCGAACGACGATTCGAATTTCTTTTCGTCAATACTAAACCAATAATCCATCGTTTAAAAACTGAGTGCCGGGAGACTTTAAAAACAAAGTCACAAGTTTCTTTTAGTTATTATTTTTGCCAAATTCTTTTTTTTTCCAGCGATTTATAAAAATTTATTTTCGAATCACACAAAAACATCAAGCACAATTTCGACTAATTTTTAATTTTAAGCCCAGAGTCAAAAAATCAACTAGATCTAATATTGCAAGATTGGGAAAAGAGTATCTATACAGCATACAGTGTTGTGGTCACTGGTCAGTATAGAAGGAGAAAACAATGTAGAAAGATGAGATTAATTAAAAATGCATGTTGGATTACATACTTGTTAGCCGAGTCAACGCTAGACTTCTCAGCTCGGAAATCGAGCCAACTAAAATACCCTTCCAAATTATTAATGAAGGATTTTATTATGGTTGGTTTGGATGGTGTAATCAATTCAACTGGCAAAATACCTACAGTTGAAGATTTACCAGGTCCTTATTGGTAATGTCTGATTTAGCAAACACTAAACAATCTTTCTAATGTTCATTACTAATATGTTTTCGTACAAAATCAGTTCTAAATAAAGTCACACAACATCAATAAATACATGCTTCGTAATTCCTGTGCTAAGGAGATATATCAATTATTAATATCGAATATATTTAGAATTTTCATTACTGTTATAGAACAACTACATTTAATACACAATCTTATTCGGATTTACTCACCGATTGCGCTTTCATACACTTGGTGTATAAGGTATCATTTGTTCTGGTTCCTGTTTCCCAGTTTCTCAATGTATGGTACGAAGGCTGGTGATTCGACTCGGTCGATGAGCTCTTATGAATCGGTTTGACAGAAGTGGGAGTATGGGATTCTGCCGACTTGGGTCTGTAAAATTTTAACAATTTGTTGATGTATTCCATTGATCATGTTTGTGTTATACATGGCGAAACGAGACCGTATATAATTCTGGACTGATTGGACTGACGAAAGACACGGTTAATAAAGGTAATAAAGTTGTCTCCGCCTGATTATAAATTTATGTCGCGGTTAGCAGTAAAATCTCTGAGTATTACCAAAAAGCATTGTTCCAAAAGTCATAAAATTGTCGGTTGTCAAATTTAATTTATAGGCACAGAGTGTAGACTCGAGTAGACTGTACCAATATTTCCCAGAAAAAAACTTTAAATTTAGCTAAAGCGTGCAGCGCTAATTACACGTTAATCAATGATGAATTGAAAATATAATCTAATAACATTTATCAGTTCTTTCGTTAAGGCATGAATAACCTGTATACAGAATGTGCAATCTTACAAGAGTAATGATAGTAACGATGTATGGTATTTTGAAGCATTTTGAATAAACCCATAAAAGAAAAAAGTCTATATTGCAAAACAAAAATTACGTTTCATAAAATTGCTTACTTTTCGATTCCATTCACCAACGGTGTTTTTTCGGTCGGTCTGCGAGCTACTATGGTGGCATCAACAACGTCATCTTTTGCTATTGCATTGCCATTTAGGTCGTTCCATTTCGCATTTCCTCCGTTTGTTATAGAATGACCATTGGGAATATTCTTTGTTTCGGCCATTTTAGAACTTCCGGATTTCGGTTCGTCGTTCACAACTTTTGTTACTGTGTGAGATACGTCTTGTCTTCGGTCATTTGGAGCAGAAACTCGAGGTGGTTGTGGTATCGTCGGGTTGTTTGAAGATAGACAAACACCACAGGTTAATTCAGATAAAGAGTTTGTTTTTGATTCTATTTTTTTCACACTTTCACGTCTTCTCGTATTTTGTCCGTTTGGTGTAGACCTGACTATTCGATTATCTGCAAATATAAAAATTCAAGAAAAATATAAACAATACTGTCCAATGCTGAATACATACTAAAATATCATTAAGATCATAAATTTACTTTAACGGAACCTTATACCCGGAGAATAATCCAATTTTAAAATGTCATCGACAACAGATACCGAAATGTGCTATATTTGTTGGTATATTATTTAATGTTATCATATAACAGTTGTCTGTAATTGAGACATATGGATTTCGTAACGACCAAGCGTACAATATATGGTCAAACGTTGTCGGTTACTCGGAGAGCAATAGCCAATGTCAGTATTATAAATAAATTTGAATTCCTCACGAGCATTGTCTGACCTATAAACATATGTACTGCAAAACCTCCACAATATGTCCTATATGCTAGATTCTATCTGAGGCATTACATGCATATCTGAATCCATAGATCAGTTTTTTTTCCTAAGCACTAAGCATCACGTATAAATCTGCTATTACGTTCTAAGAAAATATTAAGTTTGATATGTTCCCTGTTTTCAAACACTTTAAAGTAAAATGCGAATGTGTTTTGAATAGACGCATGTCACGAATATTCACATACATCAAGGCACGCAACACTTACAATAAATAAAGTGATTATTTTTTACATTACGCTGTCTAATCTGTCACAACGTATAGTTGTAATCGGCTATCCTTTTTTCTCTACGAGTTAAAGTACGTTTCAAGCCAAATAACCTGCAATTTCAGATTTGACAGATATAAACATATTTTATATTCTACTTCCCTCTATACGTTTGATCGCAATATTGATGCACTAATCCCCGTCTCCATTCTTTCTCATGCTCACTGTAATGCTTATTATACTTGTATAAAGAGTCATATAGCCGAGATAACCTAACGTATACTTATCCTCCCGAGAAACCATTGCGCCGCAAAAGATAGACCAAACACGTATGGTATGTATGGTTTCAACAAGACACGTTCACGGTTAATTTCGCAATATTTATTCTCGAATGTATTCACCCACATATAGATCGCGGTTACGTTTCAATATGTATTATAAACTATACGTAAACAAAACAACCTGTTCTCATCAAATAAGGAAATAATAAAAAAAATATATATCGATCCATAAATGTAAGGCGGTCGTGTTTCAAACGGGACTGGCGTTTATACGTGATCTTGACCAAGATGGGACTATTACATACACTTTTTACGGCGACATCGTTCTAAGCTATGATCATTCGTTCCAAAGTGTTTAAATGTATTTTAGTATACACCATATATTTTCATGTACATGTCAAACCATTATAAAGTTAATTCGGCGATCCAGAAGTATGTGTAACAATATGGATGTAACTAATTTCGTTCGCCTACTTTACATCAAATTGTGAAAGGGACTGAAATATATGGGCAGGGGTATATTCATTTGGCTAACACAGACAGTCCCCGAACTAGTAATACAACTAAAATAAGAAAAATCAGAATAAAATTATGGCCTAACCGTAACCTGGTACACATATTACGGGAGTACCGTTAATTCTACTTTATGGATTACATCTATTTTATAACAAAATGAATCTTCCATAGTTTCTAGCAAATTGTCTCTTTCTCACTCTTCTAAGCAACATGCCTACATATATTCCATTTACCGCTTTACAGTTTCACTATGTACATGGTACACCAGTACGTACGCTCATATATCACAATCCTAGGGGCTCGTAAAATAACTTTTGATTGAAGCCTTTCCCATCGTAAGAAAGTAAAGCGAACACCTATAATTGTGCAAACCATATACCATCGATACATGTAAAAATACACCGAAGTAATTAATTTCCCATAAACCCCATTTAACTTTTGGCTTCAGGGTAAATTTTTATACGACCATGTTGAATGGCATCTATTTTCAACTGTATTGGCAGCTAACTTCACTATCGACGAATTTAAATAATCAAAACAGAAGTTTTAAGTCCTTGTTGCAATAATGTAACTGTCACGTTTACACGCTTATACATGCTGTATTTATCATTACAAAGACAATCTACGAATTAGAACTAGCACGATTCCACAAGTTTGGTGGAACAACTTTAGCTTTACCTTCTTCTTCTAATATTCAAAGCAAATCAGCGAGTGACACTTTTTAGGCCACTCGGGCTCGACAAAAGGTGCCTAAAGACATTTGGCTAATTCATTTATCGACCGTCATTAGAGATTTAATAACTAGCCAGGTAGAGAGTTCCGATTTATATAGACGCCTTTGCCAACACATTAAAAAAAATCGTTCGGCGTTTTTCTCGGCCTGAATAACTGACAAATAAAGTATAAAAGAGCTAGACAATCCCGCACGCATTCCTAGCAATTGTAGAATATACACGACTAGTACCGTACGTGGCATACGCTAGTTGATACAGCATTGACTACACATATTATTTATTTTTAACGCCGTTCAATTGTTAGAGAGTTGTCATTTTGAGCGCATGTCCTGCCCATACTTAAAACAATGCCTCCTATTCGTTGAAATCGCGGAAAGACGCTAAAAAATTTAACAATCGAAGCTAATTAACCAGCGTAATTTTAGTGGGTAAAATGTTTCACTAATTCGATACTTTGTCCTCTGCTGTTAAAATAGGCATTTCAAACAAGAACATGAAGAATTCCCCGCATAAAGTGCAATTTGTTGCAAGGCATGTCCCAGTAAACGAGTAGAATTCAGCGTTATAATTTCGTCCTTCGATTAAAGGATAATCTCAATAATCATAACTAACTAGCTGTAGACCGGCTTCCGTTTACCACACAGTAAACAGTTTACAACGTTGTTGGCACATTCAAGTTGTGGGGAAGTTGATGCATTGAAAATATTCCATTAATATATCGAAAAGTTTCCTATTCAACATAAATATCTCTAAAACACTACACACAGTCGGTAAGATCCAACGATTTTTTATGGGAAGACATTTCGGTCGAATCGTCTTTTGCGTGGGTTTCTTGTCTTTTCTGTATGCCTCAATTTTCGTAAACAACATATAAATTTCAAGATTTGAATATGTGAGTGTGAGCTCAATTAAATAAATTTGAAGAGCTGCAGCAAGTATTAACAGACACTTTGATAGGTACTCCCGTAATATGTGTACCAGGTTAGGGTTAGGCCATAATTGCCTCCATATTGGTACACACACTCCTGGAGCGCTCTTTATTCTATACATTATAATATAGGTGAACACTGATTTTCATTACATTAAAACAATTTCCTATGCATAATAAAATGTAACTAAACTATATGCTCGGGATCATTTTTACTGTCTTATTTTCGAAATTTTTGGCATTCTCTATGTACATAATTAATGCATTT